CATCCCCAGATAGCCTGGATCTGAGTGCATATTATTGGCGAATAGCGCTCAGTTCAATCGCCATGTCACTGTTGCACCGGTATCCCGTAGACCACTGACCTCCTTCCCGTTTACTTTTACACATTGCCGGTGGTGCTGTCTGTTATCCCGGTGGGCAGCCTGAACGGGGTCTGCCTCATGCAGGATGCCCCAGCACTCCTCTTCCTCTACACAGTGAGCGGCTGGGAGAGGAGGGCGTGGATTGCCGTCGGCTGGTCTCCTCCAGGACTGGTTCTGGTTGGCGCTGTTCATCAGGCACTCCGGCCGCTTGTGCCCTAGCTGCTTGCATAGGTAGCACCGAATGGGTTGTGCGTACTCTCGTGAGTTAAACCTGGGTGGTTGTTGATACGGGGCAGACGAAGGGGGTGCTGATGGCCGATTCATTGGAGGCTGATAGATGTTAGCTGCTGTTGGTGCTGCTGGCCTGTACTCCACTCTGGCAGTAGCCTTGCTGATGGAACTGTCCAGTTTGCGGGCATCGTTATACTCATCCACCAGGCAAGCTGCGTCGTGTAGAGTGGAGGGTTTACGGTCCCTTACCCACTCTCTGACCCCTGCTGGCAATTTATCAAAGCAATGTTCCAAAAGAAACATCTGCAGCACCTCTTATCCGGACACAACCTGGCACCCCGCCATCCAGTGGGCGGCTGTGCGATGCACCTTACATGCCCATTCAACGTACGAGTCCCCAGAGGTCTTGACAGTGTCTCAGAACCTCCTCCGGTACGCCTCGGGTGTAACGGCATACCGGGAGAGTAAAGCTTCCCTGACGGCCACAAACTGAGTTTACTGGGGGCTACCTGCCCGTATTTATGCAGGTCTCCCACTTGGTGGACACTCCCATACGCATAGTTCAATCGCCATGGAGTCAAAGTCTATTACAGTTCTTCGGTATGCGATTGACTCCATGGGAAGGCTATCTGGGTTAAGTCCATTCGTGTTATTAAATCTCCCGAACGGCCGGTATTTGTATGCTTTTGTCGATTGAGAAGGGTCGACGGCTTCAGCGGTGTTCGGTTGAAAAAGTGTCAGTTTTTAGTTCCATGGAATAACCGTCGAACACCGCTGGGCTTTCGCATAGTTAAAATGGCCGCCGCCTCGTGGTCGACATACGAACGACGACCACCCTGTATTCGGTTTTAATTGAGAAGTGTCTGTGGTTAACCGCAACGTTCTAATTGGGATCAATAGGTTAACCAGCAGCACACTTCTCTGGGTGGCCGTCCGTTCGGTAGTTCCGTTCGACGAAAAAAAGACATTCCCTTAAACAAAGCATACGAACGGGGAGATTCATGCAAACGGCAAAACAGACTAACACAGTACTTTTAGTCCATACAGATGGGTCTGTCACAGTGATATAATATGCAGTATGAAAAATCCATCCATATTATAGTAATGTAACCAGACAATCTGTCTGGTTTGCAGCTGTGACCAAGCAGGATAAATCAATAACATGACAAACTGTTACCCATCTTCTTCATTTTACATAACCCATTTAATGCTATAGAGCAGTGGTTCACAACATTTTTTCACTTGTGCACTTCTTGGCAGCCCATTTCTAAAAATTATTTCCCTCATATTAGTAAAATATTTTTCTCTGTCCTTGGCTACCATGTCTCTCCTCTGCCCCAGGCTCCCTTGCACTTCTTCTGCCCCAGGGTTTCCCTGTACTTCCTCTGCCCCAGGCTCCCTTGCAGTTCCTCTGCCCCGGTATCCCCTGCACTTCCTCTGCTCTATGCTCCCTTGCACTTTTTCTGTGGTTAGAGCCCCACACAGTTCTGACTGGACAGCTGGAGTGCTTTGCATTTACCACCTTCAGGATAGCAAAGCATGAAGGGAAATGTAGTCTGCACTGTAACTTGTCCACAAACTTGCTTTCAAGGAAATTGTAGATCATGATAGCTGTGATGTGAAATGTTAGTTTTACGTGAGGTATCAGAAAAGAAACAGAGCCTGAAATATACATGTGCTGTGTATGAGAGTTATTACAGCTTCCTGGCGCCCATGTTGCGATGGCGCCCTGTGTGAATGCCCAGCTCCCATACCCCAAAGGCTGGCCGTGGAACGGAAATATTTTTTTTGTGGCAAACTCATGGGGAAACTGGTTTGTACCCCAGGTTTCAGGTTTATTTCACACAATATTGTACTGGTTCAAGACCCTGATTCCAAGACCTGTTACTTCATTTTATGTCTCCTCTTAGGTTATAACACTTTTCAGAAAGGATCAGATTCTATTATTTTCCAATTAATGTCAAGGGAAAAAATGGTAATCACTAACCTTTGCTCCATCAACAAAAACCAGCCACCACAACACTGAACTGTGTGTATAAAATACAATTAAAACAACTGAAAAAGACACAAATAATATAAATGTACTACTCTCCAGTTGAATTTCCAAGTGGTTGTGACAAAGAAGGTGTTAAAGCAGCTCTGTCACCATATTTTGCAAAGACCCCTGATGGTGAATACTCTGCTTGTATTCCAGTGACCATGGGGAACAAGTAAATTTTACCTAGCGAAACCTGTCCCATGCAGCAAAGCCATCTTTTTTTTTATTTGGTGGGGGGAGTGAGGGGGGCAGAGAGCCACCATATGTTGCAAAACAATTGGTCTTCTGTTGCTGGACTTTTCAGACTTAACCAGGTCTGATATATTTCACAGCCCAACTCAACATTTCAGGGATGGTCATATGGTCCTCAGCACCTATATCAAAGTCCCCCTCTGAAGAGTCCGGCCCTTAGATGTTTCTCGTATCACAAGGTGCCCAGGTAGTGCCAGACTGGCCTACTGAGAAAGTAGGAGATTCATGACATCATATCCATGGCAGCCGGATGTTAGGCAAGAGCAAGTGGGACGGCAAAGAAAGAGGTGTGGTGGCCCAATTAGGTAATGTAGAGTTTAATGTGAAATTACAGTGAGTGTGTGTGCCAGTGTGTGTGGGTGGTTCAGTAAGAAAGTATGTCAGTGTGCATGTGAGTCAGCATGTGTTTATCAATGAGTATCAGTAAAGGGTGTGTGTATGTGACATTTTGTGTTCATTAAAGAGTGTGTGCCAATGAATGTGTTTATGAGTCAGTGAGAGTATCTGTGCTGTCCTCAGCATGCCTGCTCCCCTGCCTGATGAATTGGACTATTGTCTAAAATTCTGATTTCCGGACTGCCACATGAACAGGTTACTTGCACAATGCATGAATATGTTCGTTTTGATTGTGATTCCGAGTGCTGTTGCTGGCGCCAGGTGGGGCAAATAAGCAGCTTAGTCTGCCATTGTAACATATTCATCCTCCCCTTCCGGTATCTGCAGTAATTGCCTCCCTGACAATAACAGAAGCGCCGCTCAGCGGCCATGTGTCAGTATACCCAGGGGTCAAGTCCTGGGGAAAAAAGTGTGGGAACTCACCCAAGATTCCCGCCGTCCCCCCCCGACCCCCCCCTTTAAAAAAAAAAAAAATTACACTCCTATGCATATAGTGCAGTGCAGGGTGTGTATAATGAATGTAGTGTGTTTGTAGTGAATGCAGAGTGTGTATAATGAATGCAGTGTGTTTTTAGTGAGTGCAGAGTGTGTACACTGAATGCAGTGTATGTAGTGTGTTTGTAGTGAATGCAGAGTGTGTATAGTGAATGTAGTGTGTAGTGAGTACAGAATGTGCATAATAAATGCAGAGTGTGTATAGTGAATGCAGAGGGTGTATAGTGAATGTAGTGTGTTTGTAGTGAGTGAAGAGTGTGTATAATGAATGCAGTGTGTGCGTGTGCGTGCTGGATGACGTGTGTGCGTGTGCTGGATGATGTGTGTGCGAGTGCTGGATGATGTGTGTGTGTGTGTGTGCTGGATGATGTGTGTGTGTGTACTGGATGATGTGTGTGTGTGTGTGTGTGCTGGGTGATGTGTGTGTGTGTGTGTGCTGGATGATGTGTGTGTGCGCGCTGGATGACGTGTGTGTGCGCACTGGATGACGTGTGTGTGCGTGCTGGATGATGTGTGTGTGTGTGCTGGGTGATGTGTGTGTGTGCTGGATGAAGTGTGTGAGAGTGCTGGATGATGTGTGTGTGAGTGCTGGATGAAGAGTGTGTGAGTGCTGGATGAAGAGTGTGTGTGTGCTGGATGATGTGTGTGTGTGTGTGCTGGATGATGTGTGTGCGAGTGCTGGATGATGTGTGTGTGCTGGATGATGTGTGTGTGTGTGTGCTGGATGATGTGTGTGTGTGTGCTGGATTATGTGTGTGTGAGTGCTGGATGATGGGTGTGTGTGTGAGTGCTGGATGATGGGTGTGTGTGTGAGTGCTGGATGATGGGTGTTTGTGTGAGTGCTGGATGATGGGTGTTTGTGTGAGTGCTGGATGGTGGGTGTTTGTGTGCTGGATGATGGGTGTGTGTGCTGGATGATGTGTGTGTGTGTGCTGGATGATGTGTGTGTGTGTGCTGGATGGTGTGTGTGTGTGGGATGATGTGTGTTTGTGTGAGTGCTGGATGATGGGTGTGTGAGTGCTGGATGATGGGTGTTTGTGTGAGTGCTGGATGATGGGTGTTTGTGTGGGATGATGTGTGTGGGGGGGAGGATTTTTTTTAACTTTATATTTTTTTTTATTTTATTCCCCCCTCCCTGCTTCTTACCTTGTCAGGGAGGGGGGAGATCGCCTGGTGGTCCGGTGGTATGCTGGAGGGGCCATCACGCAGTGTTCCCTCTCCAGCTCTAACTCTCGCGAGACTCGCCTGTGCGGAGCGTTGCCATGGTAACAGCCGGGTCTCGCGAGAGTTATAACTGGAGAATGAACACAGCATGTGACGGCCCCTCAGTGCAGGGACCAGGGCCGGTCCTGCAGGACAGGTAACGGGAACGGCGTTCCTGCTATGGAAAAAGTGCAGGAACGCCGTTCCCATGCGTTCCTGCAGGACTCGAGCCCTGACTCTCAGGCTCCAGGTACCAGCACCTCTGAACTACCAGAGACAATTGGTATTAGTAGTTGCATTGCATATAGACTGTTGCATATATGTTCAAATCATTCAGGCACATGACAAACCATGTGTCCCAATAAAACTTACAAATAATGTACTCACCATCTGTACACACCAATGCATTTTCAACACTACTGACTCATCACTCTTCCATACCTGTAGTAGATTTACTAAGGCTCTGGAGCTTCAAAGGGCTCCCATACAAGTATCATAATAAACCCTCAAGGAATATAGCATGCCCTCACTTACAGTCAACACAACAGAACCGTCGGCTGTAAACACACTCATAGCCAAGATTTGCAGAGGGGTTTTTACTTGGGTTTTCCAATCTCCACCATTTACAGCATGGCGCCAAACACATTGGTATTGTCACAAGGGAATCCTCCCTTAAACAAAGACTAACCATAGACTTATTGGCACCACACACCTTCGCTACCCTAAGTCTCAACGCCCTCATACCCTCCGAGGAGTTTCCTTACTATACACACCATTGATCTACCTTTTATAGCTATCACTCAAGCATGGGTTGAAGCTTCGTTAAGTAAGACCAATATCATCAACACAGTAAAACGGCTACCATCTACCCTACAAACTGGCACTTACTTGGCATAAAATGGGCAATCCTTTCCCCGCTAAAAGCAGCTGCTGTGGCATGGGGTAAATCATGGTCAGGGTCATCAATCAGTTGTTACTCAGACAACTAAGCACATGTCATATCATCAACAAATGCCACTCATCATCCATACGATCATGGTATTGCTGGGGAACTCACTTGGTTGGCCACTTACCACATTTCTTTTACTTTCATGTACCAGGCGGGGGTATACATCCTTGCCGACAATCGTCTCATTTATATTCTAGGCATGTTCATCATATGCTTCCTACAGCCGCCCATACAATCACGGCCACTCTTTCATTCCAGAGACACAATCATGGATTAGACATACTCATGCAGCATAGCATGCACTATCCCACCTAGCAATTTCATCCCATACTTGTAGAATGCATAACACAGCTATTCACCTGGCTTTAAAGAATCTCATTGGAACACTACATAGCTCAACCTGTGTCATAATATTTCTCCTAGGTTTTGCTTCATTTTTTGCCACCTTAAACTAAAACCATCTCACACACCATTAATTATATATTTTACAGGCATTCAACAACACAGGATAACCTATGGCCAAAACTACCATAACTTCATGCTATCATACCAGACAATAATATACTCAGAGGTTTTCAGGAATCCATCCCCTCACATTCCTCTCAGAGATTACCAATAGCCATCCAACTTTTCCATCCTTATCGGACCTATTAGAGCTACAACCATTCAATTATACTACCAAGTCGGCCATTACCAGCAATGCACATTGCCTTTTATGCCTTTCTCAGGCCAGAGAATGCACTACCATAACCACCACTCAGACAGATCATTGTCTTCAACGATCCCACATATGTAAACACATATATCATTACCTATTGGCTCTACCACATTCCGAAACGAGTCAACACGCACCAACAGTAGAGATAACATACTATCCTAGCCACAACAAATGGTGTCCAGTTGCGGTCCTAGATTCCTACCTTCAAAATCCTTCAAGGAATTAAATACCGTAATGCATTTAAGGAAATGTCTGGTTAATTTGTATATATTGTTGACTGTATAAAAACTTTGATTATTCTTTTTGCCCTCTTTATTTACAGGCCTACCGTATCGTCGGTCTCAGCACACCACAACCGACTTGCTCCCTTTATACTATCCTACGCTTATGCTGGAACCTTACTCCATATACGGCTATTTGCCCTCTTTATTTACAGGCCTACCGTATCGTCGGTCTCAGCACACCACAACCGACTTGCTCCCTTTATACTATCCTACGCTTATGCTGGAACCTTACTCCATATACGGCTATTTGCCCTGAACACAAATGACAGGGTGAGTGTGGCAGAGTGAGGGCATGTGCGGGTGCGACAGGATTAGGAGTGGTTAATGTGAGTGTGGATGCGTGAAGGGGATGAATGTGTGGGGGGATGACAGTGTGGTGAGTGGTGACAATGTGTGGGGATGTAACTGTGTGGGTAGGGTGACCCTGCATTATGGGGGTGACTGTGTGTGTGTGGGTGACCCTGTGTGAGGGGGAGGTGACTCAGTGAGGGACAGTGGGTGACAATATAAGGGACAAGGGGTTAACCTGTGTGGGACAGGTGGGTAGTGTGAGGGAGGGGAGTGGTAGTGCAAGCAAGGTGGGTGGTAGTTTGAGGGAAGTGGATAATGGTGTATGGGAGGGGGTTTTACTGTGAGGGAGTGTGTAGCGGAATGGATGCTCTAGCTACACTTCTATTCCTTTTTGTTCGGCTGTCCGTACACCCCTGTTCGTTTGCCGAAACAACTCTGTGTGTTTCCCTTGTTTGCATCTTTTAATCACCGACCACCCCTAGCTGTTAACCACAAATTGGATATTAGTTCCCTGTGTGGCCGCGGTTTGTATAACCGAACGCATGTGTTCAAACAATTGGCGGCTATTTTGTCTCCAGAACGCGGGCAGCAGTACATGGTCGTCGACAGCGTGGAACTGTTTTTGGATATGAGACCCCACGAACACCCGGAAAACTGGTACCTCTGCCCATCCAACTTCCCGAACAGTTAGGAGAACGGCGTTCCAGAGGCATGAACTACCAAACAGGGGGAGTATTCGCTCCCTAACAGCCAGGGGATAGACTAATCTGTGTTCATGCAAGAACCTCCAAAAGATGATTGGTCATTGCCTTTTTTTCTCTGGAACTGTTTTGGGGCATCTCCTCATGGCTAACCAGTCAAAACTTAATTTGAATGACGTTCTCAAACCAATGAAGGAATCTGAGTGATATTTTGGCAAAGTGTGTGCTCAGATCCAAGCTATTTGGTGATATACTTTTGTTGGGTTCCAAAGTTATTAAAATGTATTTTTGGGGTGTTTTAGAATATTGTATATTTTCCTGTACCTGAGAGATAATTGAGTTATAGCTTTTTCTCACGAAATTATCTCTCAGGCACAGAGGATCCTGAAAAGAAAAGCCCTGTATTTTGGATATGGAGACCTCATGTAGGGGTCTCTGAAAAAAAGCCGTGTTTAGCCAAAATAAAATCAGTTGACTCGCAGAACTATGTGTCATCTAGTTACTGGGGGGAAAGTGTATTGGATTATTATACTGCTTCTTTTAGCTTCATGGAGCTCCACTACAGAGTGGGGTGATGGTGTTTGAGAGGGGGTATTACTGTGAGGGAGGGAGATGGTGTGTTAGGGATGGGGTGATACTGTGAGGGAGGGGGGTGATACTGTGGGAGTGTTTTGGATCAAAGAAAACTTTTATAATTTGTCTATCTACACCTTCCAAATTGATTGATTAATGCGTGCACGCTTTCCCTAGAAGTAATTCACACCGGAGACAAAGTTTCTGATCAGTGAAAAACCCAGGAATGCTTTATTCCCCGGAGGGGGGCTCCTTCTTAAAGCAAAAATACGTCACAGTTTAAACATACAGTATACATTCACCAATTGGTTAACAGTCTAAGGGGGTCTTGTCTAAACCCCCCTTACAGGATGTAGTGTCATCATTACAGACTTCTGGATACACGATGGGAGGGGGAGTGAGTAGTTTCTTTCAGTTACTTTAACAGTGATTCTCCATTTTGTTACACGTGGCATATAGCTGTTAACTGGCACAAAGGCAGTGGGGGAGGAGTTAGTAAAGGGAGCTGTTAACACAGGAATTTTGGTTACACAAGGTTTGCTTGATGGGATGGGGGATGCTTAGCACGATGAAGAATTTACATAGGAAACAGCAACTGAACACATTGTAGGGGGGAAGGGAATATTTACTCTAGCAGCCAGTTTTAACCTAGTGAACACAGAATAAATAGACATTAGTAAATAGCCATTTTATTTTAATTCATCTGTCCATAACAGGAGTGGGATAATGGGGGATTGGGTTAATACGGTGAGGGGGGAATACTGTGAGGGAGGGGACAATACTGTGTAGGTGGGAATCTGGGAGGGAGTGGGGTAATACTGTGAGGGGTAACACTGTGAGGAAGGAGGTAATATCAACAGTATTTCCATCTCCCTCACATTATTCACAACTCACATTATTACCCCACTGGGTGTGATACTGGGATGGAAGGGGGTAATATTGTGAGGGGGGAATACTGTGAGGGAGGGGGGTAATACTGGGAGGGGGTGTCACAAATGCACCTTACTTTAAGTGTGTGCGTGACATAGTTGTGGCGGTGAAAGGGTTAAAGTTCACTATTTGTCTTCGCTAGACTGGAAATAATGATAAAATCCCCCTTAACACTACCCATATTTAAGCATAATAATATAAATATTGCTATTTTAATGCTGCCACCACCAAAACAATTTATAAATGGGGTGCCTTGGTCCCCCAGGTAACTTAATAATAAAACCCACCAAATACAACTTAGCACAATATATAAACTGGGAGGGATGGGGTGAAAGTGTGAGGG